TTAATTCATCGTTCACTCGTCCCTCTGTCTGTATTCTCTCCCTCTTTGTTGCGCCGCCTTCGCCTTGACTTCTCGATTCCGATGCCTCTCAGCTTTAATCTCGCGGTTTTGCTGCCGATATTAATTGTGCACTTGTGTCTTCACCGATGTCTTTAGTCCATTGAGGCCAATGCGCCTTTAACCTAGAATATACCTCGTCCCTGACATCTATTTTATGTTGCATTCTAATCTTAGAGGTTTACGGGCTTAAATTCTTAAACAAGCGCTAAAAGTTCGTTCTGCATTAACGTAAATATTGCGTTACGTGGTATACAGTTTCCTCATAAATCTTGTTTGCACTTAAATTGTAACGGGGTTACACGTACCCTGGTAACAAGGGTGTGTGCCACACGAGATGGGCATGGTGTAACTGTACCCAAATAAGAATATGGGTAGCCAGTAGTTATGCATGTATTTAGATTTTACTATATACATTTAGGAAAATCTATACATTGAGAATTAGTGTACAAGCTGTAACAGAGTTACACGTACCCTGGTAAGAAGGAATGGGTCACATAAAAGGGTGTTTCTATACAAGGGTGTGGGTTACACAAGACGGTGTAATCACACAATGGTGTGCTACACCTGAACAAGAAGCCACAACGTGGTTGGACTGTCAGTAGTTATGCATTTTAAGTAGATTTTATTTTTTTGAATATTTAATTCGGAACACCTATAGATTCGATATAGGCGGCTTCACCGCAGATAAAACAAAGAAACACAGCTCAAATTTTGAGCGGAAGAGCTTATTTGCCTTGGGTTAAAAATGTGGTTACTCTTGGCGTGAGCGGATTGCGATCCGCTATACTCGTACTGGCTCTAAGTATAGAACGAAGGTCACCGACCATAGCTTAGCATATTCAAAGGAAAAGGGCTACGGCAGCCCGCTGAACAGACCCATCGCCAGTTGTGGCTCGGCCATGTATACGTCATTAAGCATCCCATTGAGAAATGCGGTTTCACAGTAAAATTATCGGATCTCAAACGCTTGCTGCAACACAAAACAAGAAACACGCGAATAGTATTGGTGCTCACCGCCGGGAAGAACGTGTTGTAGTGGTCCATTCCAGGAGTTTACAAATAACGAAGCGTCACTAAGCAAGCTTTGTATCGGACAATGTTGCCATTCTCACCAAATTCGTTTGCAAATATCCACCTTCATCCGACACCTCGTGCACCATTCATGCGCCTGAGCAAATCCTAAGTGTGAGACCGAATGTGTGCATTGAGCTCTATAAATATATCTTTTTCGACTGTTTGGCTTCGGATGATACCATCGCTTTTGCATAGGTCGTGAGAAGTCTCTGCGGTTGCCAATGCGATGCAACGTCGTTGGGGTCCGGTTCATTAATCTCATCGCCGTCCTTAATACTCACATGAGGTTCATATGAAAGGAGAGGCATGTTATCAGCTTCATCTGCGTTGGTAAATAGCTGAGGCTGTGCCACTGAGTGCACGCCTAGGTCTTAATCCATCGCTGAACACCGTTTGACCATCACCGAAAGTTACTAGTCTGGTGTGTACTGGAGCTTCAATATCGTGAGTAGGGGCAGGTAAGAGCGGTACTTCTCCGGACGTGATAGCGATAGAATTGTCAGGGCGACCAGACCAAAGTTTTCGTTCAAGATAACGTTCCAACAAGGTTCTGCTGAAACGTATAGTGCTAGCGACAGCGAGGAAAATACCCGGTAGCCCTCCCTCAAATGGAACTTTGGAAACTGGAACAATAGCATCATCGACCTCCATACGCATAAGTTCATCTCCCGTTTCATCAATATCCATGTCTATTGCAGTGGGTATGTCGTCGCACTCAACACATCGTCGTCTTCTTCGAGCACGTACTTCATTTGGCTAACTCCAGCACTATCATCGACAACAACATCGTGATAACGAGCTGGTGGCCGCGCATTCAGCGTAACCGTGCGCGTTTTGACTAGTCTTTTGTTGTTGCGATCCCAGACTCGGTATAAACAGTGGTGCGACCTCGCTTCTCACTTCGTCCTCTTCGCGCGTACCCAGTTGATCCGGATACCCGAAGATGCTCGGGCGAGTGCTGCGTGCCGGTGGGAGTTTCCTTTGGAGCCTTGTCGCACAGTGTTCAGGATACATTTATCTACATGAGCCGCTATAATCGTGACCTCAACCAAAAGACTCGCTCCACGCATATTTGATCCATTCTTGCTCGGGCCGCTTCAGTTAACGTGCATTTCATTATCTTCGCCAATCCATTCTGCTCTGGAGAACACGGAGCGCCTGTCTGACGCACGATGTCGTTAAGGGAGCAAAATTGATTGAACTTAACAGTGATGTACTCTCCACCATTATTGCTACGAATACACTTTATCCTTCAGCCAGTTTGCTTTTCTGTGAGGGCCTTGAACTCGCGAAAGCGATCAAAGACGTGTCCTCTCAGAGAAATCAGATACATGCAGACCTATCTACTGTAGTCGTTGATAAACGTGAGCACATCCGAGACTCCACCTTTCGATCTGTGCTTCATGGGGCTTGTGACATTAGTGTGTACGACTACGAGAGGGCTTCTAGCCTTGCCTTCACTGCCGGAACTTTGTGCGAATAGACTCGTCGTCATCTTGCCTTTAGCAAAGCCACCACAAATAGCGATCACGTTGTTTACTTATCTTAAATCTTTCATCGCTTTTCTTTGCAACAGCTTGCATCTTCAAAGCGAAAATATAGTCTAGTCGGACGTTCCACAACGATATATTCCCACGCGTTCTAGCGTCTGTCTAGGCGGCTTATTCTCCCTTGAGCTGCTGTAAATGCCACACAGATAGCTTACCATATCGATAAATCACGCATGGCACTTCTTCATCCACCACTTGCGTCGCTTGATCGCGATCAAGCTGTACGACAACGCCACGTTTCGTCAACGCTGGAGCGAACATTAGCTTCATATCCAGAAGGGACACATCCAAAACGACCGACAACTTGATCGTTCGCGCATCTCGAACAAAAAAATGCATATCTTCTTTTCCTTCGGCTAGCAATTGCTGTCCACAAGCCACGGTGGTGCTGATTGGCATTTTCAACTCTTGAATCTCCAAAAAGTGCATCTCTTATCCGTCATGTGGAGGCTCCCTCCACTGTCGAGTAGCCAGGTAACCTTTTGAGATGAACCAACCGTTGATAAAAGTCATCCTCCGATTTCTTCAGCTCAGTACAGTCGTCACGCTTGTGGCCGTACTCATTGCAGTAAAGAAGTACCCACGAAATGTTGGTCCAGTGTTTTTGTTCTGGTGATGTCCACAACCACGATTATAGCCTCCACGACCATCACGTCGGTCTCTGTCACCTCTACGCGACCACCTTGCTCGCTCATCGAGGGTCGAGGCTTGAATGCTTGCTCTTTCTCCTCTCTCTTCTTGGCCGACTTGAGCTCGCGGCGTGGCCTCTCCTTCGCGTCTAGCATTGTCACCTTCTCGTGTGTCTCGTTAATACGAATTATTGCATCATATTTCTGGGGTAAACTTCCAAGCAGAACGACCAGTTTCTCGTCCACATGTAGTAGTCATCGGGTTGATGTCTAGTTACTCGCGGTGCAGAATAGAAAGTGAAATAGCTACTAGATCTACCATTTCCTAGTCACTAGCGCTTGTTCTAGAACAACTTGCAACCGAGAAGATTTCATTTCAACTTTCATGTTGCCTTTGTACAGCGTACACATATCTGTGACGTGGCGTTACGCAATTCTTGATAACACTTGTAAGATTGAGATATAGTTACAAAGCTCTTGACCACAAAATTTGAATTCGGACATGGTTTGTTTGAACTTTGCTAAAGCACTTACACACGTACCAACTTCACCGACAAAATTTTGCAAGGGCCGAACTTTTGGCGATTTACAGCAACCTCATTTCCAATATAAACCCTGTGTGTAACGTGTGCTGCTAACCGTTTCTCCGCCTTACAGCTTTACGACTTGTCACTGCAGTCGACCAGGAAGTGACCGGCTTTTGAAATCACGCAACGCTTGCTTTGCGGTCGGTCGGCATGATTTAGTGCAACATTGACGTAGTTCAATTCCAACAAACCCCTCTCGAATCATTTAAACAACAGTGATGCGGGTTGTTAAGTTCGTAAAGCCTTTTGTGCAGTCTGCACATCAACCTTGTCGATCAAGAATGTGGAAGTTGTTGCTGTAATCAAGAAGTCATCAATAAGATATTTGTGCATCTTGGACTTTAAATTAAGAAAAGAAAGCGATCTTTGCTGTCTCAGAAGGTATGAAATGTGTCAGCAAAATCAAATTAAATATAAAGCCACAGTCTATTGCTCTTCGCTTTACGCTTGATGTGGATGTTGTCGGGAAATTGGTTGCGGATTTAATTTTACCAAACAACTGAACCAGGCGATGCCCAAGCAAATCTCTTGAGTGACGTCAATCAACAACGTACAAAGTACTCTGTCACGATACGATTTGTAAAACGCTGAACGTCTATTTGTATGACGTCCAATGCTGTCCATGATGCTGAAGATGTCATCTTACCTGCTAGATCAAAGTTCTGCAATAATACACAGGTTGTTAAACACGTTTGTTTTTGTTCTATTGGAATGTAAGCGACGTTATCTAGGGAACCTGGATATCCATTGTTACCTGTGATGTCTCTACCGAAATTTCGTATATCTTTGACCAACCGTATGCAATAAATGCAGCAGTCCATAATCTTTACCTGATCGCGATTTATGCCCACACGGAACTAACTCTATGCATTGAGTTACTCGGTGCTGATTATCCAGCTGGCGCTTCAAAATTAATGGGTGTTTGAATGGTCAAATTTCGTTTGGGTGTGATGTTTGTTACGCCAGGTGAACAGTCTGCTCCAAGAATCATCAAAGTCAGCGGTACTGGCAATTTTACAGAATTTTGACCAGCGTTGTCTCTCTACTCAGAAAATAAAAGTAATTTTCTGATCAAATTAACCCGTCTTACCCGCTGTTAATTTGTTTTTGATGAGCCGTCTACCCGGACTCGTGATAAAATACCGCAGAGATCGATAAATATTTCTTACGCTTGACGAAGTAAGCCTATCTTTTTCAGATAGACACATGCACATGTGGATCTTGATCAAATGCCACCCGAAAATATGCTGGCATTTGAAGGTTTGAGATAAAACGACATACTCATTCGAGCCAGTAATTTCAGTCAGAGCAGATCAATGGATCTTGTCAAGGAGCAACAAGGGATCGGAATCGTCTGAGAAAATTTGGAGGAATACCAGTCAAAGCAGTCGAGTCGTACGAGTAGGTGAATGACGAATACATAAGGAACATCAGGAAAGACGAGGCAGTTGTCTATAAAGAACAGGATGTAAATCGCCTCAGTGTAACGTGTGGTGTCAGCAAGTATTAAAAATAATATGTCAATCTGTAAAGTCCGAATGAGTGCTAGAGACTGAAAATTTCCAGTCGCGATTCACAACTCTCTTATATATCACAGAGCACTTGAGTTACATGAGGGCAGCAAAGGTGATCTCTTTCGAATTTGGAATGGACCAGCTAGCAAGAGGAACTGCCAGAACCTTCAGAAAACTCACACAGCAAGAGCAACCCCCGTTTTGCAAATTTGTACAAAATGCACTATGAACAAAATACCGCTGAATACTTTCCACGCATGCTCGAACACTCGTCGCACCTTAGAGTAGCCCTATCTCGTGATCGAATGGGAATAAAGATAACCGAGGAGTTAAAAGGCTAGCACTTGTTAACAGACAGGACATCCTCATGCTTTAATACTGTCGTTAAAGTCTAAAAGCCTTACAATAAAATTTAATGTATCGAAAAACATCGTAATTTATGATTTTTTTTATGGAATTATATTTTTTATTCACATATGCTGCATTCTTCTAAATGACACATGTATGTCATCTTCAAAAGTATAATCCGATGTTAAACCCCTAATTCAATATAGTAAGCTAAACAATAGGTGCGTTGCACTCTCTTTCATGCGAAAGCGCGTTCCTACTGCGAGAGAGGCCTGTCGCTTTAAAAATTTACTTCATATAATGTAGGCAGCGCTAACGTTATCATCGCACTCCACTCAGTACAAAAAGATGATGAATGTCCAGGACGCGTCAGTAAAAACTGTCTAATGGTGTAAATCCTGCGCGTCGGACCGATGAGACCAGAACTCATAGCATAGCTCAAATGCCAATACCGTATTTTCGAGCCGATTACGTTCTAAACCGAGGAGTAGTGTCCGGCATGGAATGGCATAGACGTATGATCGTCACTGACCTTTCGCGTTACGTAGTGAGCAAAACTGACACAAGACCATATTCATGTTGAGTTGACCCAGTCTCGCTTATTGTTTAGCGTTTCAGTATTGACACACTTTCTCACGTGGCAAATTGCAATTTTTCAGCTACAGAGCTCGGCCCTAAGCATCGATGGCAGTGATACAAGCTACATGGCTTTCCTGATCACCGGAGAACAATTATTTTTTCGTCATCTTATAAAAGACTAACCAAAATATGTGACATATTACTGATATGACGAACGAGACGAATCTTCTTTTAGCGTAATATAATTGTCTGGTGTGATTGAGAGATAAGAACCTTTAATCATTAACATTATGGCCACCAATATTATTGCGCTTAGATTTGTCACTAATGTTTGTATAATAAAATACTTCATCGAAAACTTTGTTTGTCAGACTAGAATTGTGGAGAAAACGATAGCGACGGTGAATTTATTGACATTGTATTCGGTACCCGCTAATGCTGTTCCTACCACACTGAAAGAGTACAATAAAAAATGAGCTCTTTGTGTGCGTTTGACATTTAGGGGGTTGTAGCCCGAAAAATCTTCGTCAAGGTGATCATTGAGTCTGTTTTTCTTGAAAACAGTTTGGTATACCCGATTGATGTCAGTCAATTTTTCTTACCATCTTCATGTGTTCGAATGCATCACGTCAAGATTAGCTTAAACATCTCTTGCGTCTCAGACGTCTTCAAAGATTGTGTGAATACCAGATCTATGCTGAACAAATTGCTCATCGCGCAGAAGTGTATTTTTTGCAATAGCCTCCCAAAGCAATTGCGACTCACCCGACCGTGATAGTCCCGCTGCTAAGTGCTATGCGACCACCATCTGTAAGCTCCACCACATTCTGCAGCGAGCCAAGCAACCGTCGTAGTGTGTCAAGAAGCTGTAGACAGACCAATAAATTGCTAACGTAGCCTGAGCGATTAAACACGAATGTATAGGTACCCGCGACAGCAGTTGTACCGGTAATGAGCAGCCGCACATGCTCAAAATCAACTCGACCTGTTTTGACACTGGAAAAAAGCGAGCTGATACTTTGTCGATGACATCGTAAGTAAAGCATTAACTCCACCTCCACCATAACACCTTCGTCACCAACGGGGTGCGTTTTCCAGATCTGTGGCTCAAGAACGTATAGCTCGAAGTACTGATCATACAGCCGCCATTGTTGTATGAATGCATCGGCGCCCCGAAGGTCGACACCTACAACATCTGCGGCTAAAATTGAGCGGAGAAAACGTTCTTGATACCCTGATAAAGACAATGAGTAGCCATCGTGATACACACGGAAAAATTGCAAGACAACTAATTCTGCATGGTTTTTAAGTGACTCATCTGGATGCAGCGGTTGTTGTCGTCGCTGGTTCTCATCGTTTGCATATGCAGGTGACTTTTTCTGTTGGTTGCATTGCAGGTTTTGATACAAACATGCTATGTCGGTCTGCAGTGTTTGATTCACGTGCTCGAGCATCAAAATCTTGTACTCGCGCTTGGCACGGTGCTTGCGTTGGTACAGGCGATCTTGTAGGCGCTTTTTAGTTACTCGCATAATTTGTTTCTCATCTTGATCGGTTGTGGCAAGCACCTGCTCGTTGACCCGATCAAGCAAAACTTGCAGCTCCCAAAAACAGAAGTACGGCATGGCTTGAGCCATTATTTACGTACAAAAGGTAACAACTAGCTTGAAAAAGTTTGCGAATGAGGATCAAGGGCCTGCTTCAGATAAATAAGGTGGGGCACATTATTCTTTGAATACACTGACCTTTCGCTATGAGTTCTTGATTTCAATGTCGACAAGAGAGCAGTATTACCAGGTTGAAAGCAGTCTCGCAATGATTGTCCATCATCTCTTGTCCCTGCAACATCGTTGCACTTTGGTCAAGCGGTACAGGCTCCAACGATGCTGCATTCCATATTTTTTAAGTCTTGCAAAGTGGACTGAGAGTGGACATCAAGTGCTCGCCATCACAGCCAGGATAAATTTATTTCATGTGTAATATATTTGGACAAGGGTTGGTGTCGCTGCCAAACTTTTGAGGAGCGTGGTGATAGGGTAGAGGAAAGCAGATATGCGTATCACGATAGCTCGTCAAAGCATTTCTCAGCTCGCGAAAAGATGTAATACTTTAAAAACAGTTGGTCAATGAGACTACGGCGCTTACTAGAATTTCTTAATATGTTGTAAGAGAATTGATGAGAATAAAGTAGTAATGCGTATTTTGTCATAATTCTTTATAAGCTTTTAGCTGCAGAGGATAATATGTAGTGAAGTATCACGTCGCAGATTTGTGAAACTCGAGCAACTCAAGCTTAATTAAAAAAAAACTAATTAGCTAAATTTGCAAAAAAATGAAAAAGGACAACAAAGTATCAGCTTGTCATATTTTTTATCATGTGTTTTGAGCATTTGAAGATAAGCACAACGTGTCTGCGATGTGATTCGATACACAGTATCGAGCTCTGAGTAAGAACAGAGGTATGCATGAGCGGCTACTCAATAACAACAATTTTATTATCAAAGACTGTGTATCGCATACATCTAACGGATTGCTTCGCCGCTTCGAAATGAAGCTCTAAAAATACTAAATTCATTACCCTACCAAAACGATTTCAGATGATCTAAAAATAATCAAGGACAAACAGTTCTTGAAGGTTGCCACAACAGAAATTCCAACTCTCCGTTTTTTCATTGATTTGTAGGACCATATCACCACCCACTGCCAGGTATGTCGAAGCGGCGCAACGACATTCCGATGTGGCGGAAGCAAGAAGTTATTGTGTGTATTCAAGAATGTGCCCATATTGCAATTTCAGGCTTCAGTGAAGTTGGTGTGTTCATGGCTCTCTAAGATATGAGCATGGGGACCGATGGAGACACTGACACCATCAGTTGAGCTGGTCTTGCAGACAAGTACCGATACTGACTTGTTGCTATACATAAAGTGTACGGTACGCTGTTTTAAAAACATTACAAGACAGCCAGCGACAGCAGGATGGACGCAAATGTCCTCGACCTTGACGTTTTGGACAAGATTTGCGGAAGTAACTGATGGATAGAAATAAGTTTTGACAGCATAAAATACAGCTTCACGTCGGCACAGTTTTGATTCATCTCTTCGCATGCATTCTGTTGGTTTGTTGGTAAGAACCGAAGTGAATATACTTAGGTCGTTTGCTATTTCTAAGCCTATCCGTCTAAATCATTCTAAAGCGACCATATATACCTGCTCTAATGAAAGACTACCATTATGTCCGTAATCAATATTCGTAATCATGATAATAACTGTAAACGTTACCGGTATACTTGTGACGTCATCCACGCGCATTCAGCAGAGTATCTCAACACTTCCACCTACCGCTGTTGTTGAGCTTGCTTTGATTCTTGCTTCATGATGCCTGTCTTTTCGCGGTGAAACTTGAGCGTCTTACTCCCTAGTCTCTTGGTAAGTATTTCCGCGAGCTGATGCTTTGTGTTGACATAGTCGATTTAGATCGTTTTGTATTCAACGTTTTCTAGCGTAAGTGATGCTTGATGTCGACATGCTTACTTCTGGCATGATATGTCGTAGTCTGGGCCAGTGCTATTGCACCTTGGTTGTCCTCCCAGACTTGCATTGCATGATTCCGGTCTTTGCCCATGTCTTTCAACATCGCGCACGTCCTCAAGACTTCCTGAGTGCACAGGCTTAGTGCCATGTATTCGGATTCTGCTGAACTTGGTGCTATAGTTCATTCGACTTGAACACTACCGGTCCATTACCATCGCGCCAGATAGAGATCGTCTGTCGTCGATGTTGCTTCCTCAATTTGTGTTCGTGAATGCTTCAACCATAATGTTAGTGACCCTTCCTTCATATACAATTCCATACGTATGACTCCAAGTATCTTAGCACATGAATCACGGCTCACCAATGCTGTATTCCAGAATTTTCGAAAATCTTGATAGTTACGTAACTACGTAGGCAATGTCCGGTCCAGGACATGTTGCTATGTACTCAAGACAGCCGATGAGAGAGCGATATGGCTTTGACTACATTTGAGTTTTTCTGCATGTGTTCTTGGCAATTGTTCTTTGGAAAACTCGAGATTGGAGTTATCGGTCGTTTTGGCGTTCTGCTGACCGAATCGATGCGTAAAATCGTCAATGTAACGCGTTTGCTTGACCATAAGTGTTCCGACTTTCGTGTCATGATCAATCCCCATCCCCAAAATTATTTTGCGTCAACAAGCTCCTTTATTTTGAAAGCACTCTTGAGGGCGCCTTTGACTTCACAGATCGCTGCACGGCTCTTGGCTGCAAGTATCATATCGTCCACGTAGAGGAAACGTAGATTTACCCGCTCTTAGAGAACTTTACATACACCAACTGATCCGCGCAACAACTCTGTAAGCGATTCAAGCAAAGACTCCTTGAATTGCGCTATTCCAAGCGCTAGCTGCTTGTCTTAAACCTTTGATGGCCTTATTCAGCAGACAAACAGTATCCCCAATAATCTTAACCCAGGCAGTATCTCCGTATAGACTTGGGCACTAATCTCACTATTTGGAAAGGCAGTGTCTGCATCCAGCTGTTCCATTTCATATCCGTCTGCGACACAAACAGCCAATACAACTCGAATCAAATTTATCTTCGCTATGGAGGAGCACGTTTTAAAAAAATCACACCGTCCTTTTGTTTAAACCACCTTCGCGACAAGCCGTGTTTTGTAACGAATGACTCGGCCGATCTCATCACGCTTCATCGACATCCAATCGGACGAGCAGTTCCGCGAATATACAATAGACCAAGTGCCGTTTGTTCCTGTGATAAAGATTCAGGCCTCATTGCTGCTCGCCACGCCACTGCTATATCACTTGCAACTGCTTCAGCGTATGTGATTGAGATGTCAGAGAACCCGTCGATTCTTGCCGCATACGCCAACACTGCTTCGGCAAGTAAATCATCTTCGTCAATTCTCTTTGGAGACGGTGATCTTTTGCTTTCTTCCGATCTTCTTTCATCATACAGCTCCAATCTGTCTTCCGGTAGTAATGTTGGCTCTTGACAACGCCTTGACCGCTCTGTGCCCGGACGAAACACCGAACATATCCCCAATTATTCGCGGAGAAATATTTTGCCAGCTCTTGCCCAGTTGCTATCCGATCTTTGAGTGCAAAGAGCCGATTCAGATTGATATTGCGCACTGATTCGACCTCATCCATCTCAATATCATGCGGAGACTCCTCGATACCGTTCATAAACTCGTCTATCACCGGCCGTCGCACAGTAAAAAAATGTGCTGCTGCTTCATTCATCTCCTTGAAACATGAGTAACTGATTCCTTTTTCAAACACGGTGTCTCCTAAATACCGATAACTTCACGCTCATCAAGCTAAACAGATCGTGTAAGCTTAGTATTTGATGATTCTAAATCATAAAAACGATTACCCTTTGCTTTTTCAGCATATCCAACAAGCATACACTAGTAGGTGTCAGGGTCGAGCTTCGTCCCTTTAGCGCTGTCAACATGGGCATATCTTTGGGGCCCAGACACACGCAGGTATTCCATTCGTGGTTTCTGCTCAAAACTTACTTCATACGGCATTATGTCATTTCGTTCAGTGTTCACAGAACTATTAATCAAATCGACTGCAGTGCTTACAGCTTCCGCCCACCAAATGATTGACGTCCCCCATATAATGAAGCATGCTTTTTGCCTTCTCAATGATAGTACGATTAATCCGTTCTGTACATGTGTTAGGGGCTATAAGGTAAAGTCCGCTGAAGCATGATACAATCCCAGTGGCAAATAGCTGTGACCTTCATGTTCACAAACTCTGTTCCATTGTCAGGGCAAATGCATATAATTTGCTCTCACAATTTCTTTTCGAAAAACGACTTATATTCGGTGAGTTTCGCAGAGACCTCACTCTTACTCTTCAGGAAATAAGCAACCACGAAGCGTAAGAAATCATCCACAAATGTTAGCACAAATTTTGCTCCTTCTTTTGATACCGTTTGCATAGGTCCCATCACACTAAATTAAAAACACGCGCTGTCGTGAACATGCGATACAGCCCGCTTATACTTCATACATCCACTGCATACAGTCTGAATACCACTGCATAAAGCTGGCATACTATGCGTGACATGCTAAGTTTTGACTATACCGCTTCTCGCTTGAATGTACCATGCGCGCGTGTCACAGCTCCTACTGATTGTCAGCACCGGCGTCCTCCTACAACGCGCTTCTTCAAACTTTAAATCAAGGATGAAAGTTCTGCCGACCTTTTTGCTCAGTGCAAAAGCCTTGTTCTTGCCTCAGATAACAGATGAAAATTTCTGAAACTTCACACGTAAACCATGTTCTGCAAGTTTTCCGAGCAATAGCAGCTATATATCGAGTCCTGGAATGTACAAAACGTCCAAACATCCTGATGTGCTTACCGTCCATCCCAGTCAGCTTAACAGCTCCTTTACCAAGAACACGCAATTTCGTTCCGTCTGCAATGGTTACCTTGATGCCCAAGATCGTATCATCAAAAACAAATAGGTCTTCACGGTATGGTGTCATCCACGATTGCTTCTTAGCCGCCGACCACTTCCGTGAACAAGAAACGCTTTCTCCGTCGTCTCCTTCCCTTGAAACCGTTCATGCTTCTTTAACAGCTTCT